TTTGGAAGACATCTGGAGACCATGGTTTGAATCCCTACTTGGCCATGGAAACTCACTAGGTGACTTTGGGCAGATCATACTCTCTCAGTCCAGGGAAAGACAATGGCAACCTCCCCAAACAAATCTTGTCAAGAAAGCTCCATGGTAGAGTCACCATATGTTGGAAATGACTTGAAGGCACACAAAAGCAACAAGCCTTTTTGGAAATTCTACTTAACATTTGTTTCATATTCTAGAGCAAAGCATTAGCACTTTTGTTTCAACATACTGTGTAGGGGAAGGCTGTAGTGGGGGATAAATAAGAATGGGGAAATATTTCAGTGTAGTGTAGCCAGACCAAATGGCCGACAATCAACAATGTGGGAAAAATATTATTGGAAAAGTAGTATCTTCCTAGGGTCCTTCTACACAGCCATATAACCCAGAATATCAAAGCACACAATCCACAATATATGATTTTAACAGACCCTTCCACATAGCTGAATAAAATCCCACATTTTCCACTTTGAACTGGAATATATGGCAGCGTAGACTCAGATAAACCAGTTCAAAGTAGATATCCTGGGATTTTCTACCTTGATATTTTGGGTTATATGACTGTGGGGGAGGGCCCTGTGTTATCTGAGTCCACACTGCATTTAATTCAGTTCAATGTGGATTTTATACAGAAGTGGAAGGGTCCCTAGAGAGATAGCTTGTTGTAGTGGTTTTGACATTGGACTAGAACCCCGTACACAAGGGTTTCAATCCCCTCTTGGCTATGGAAAACCACTGGGTGATCATGGGCAAGTCACACACCCACAATAAGGTTGCCATCAGCTGGAAATGATTTGGAGATGCACAATAGCAAAATCAACAGTATTTTCCTCCTCCCATGACCATTAGCTAGATTTGCAGATCCAAATGCAGTCCATGACAAACTATACTCTACTCGAGAGTCTAGACACATTCACTGGTAAGGAAGTACAAACAAACAACTGCCCTAACAATTGCCTCCCCTGAGAAATTACAGTCTGTAACTAGAAATTAGCTATGGTCAACCAATTGTCAGTTTCAAAGACAAAGGACAGAAACAGCCCAAGCATGCAAAACTGCACAGAATGTTGTTTTAATCTCTTAAAAAGACAATTGTGATTTCAATTTCCCAAACTGTTTATTAGTTAAAAGCCATGCTAAACTCCAGGCATTAATTGGAATTATTTGAAAATGTATGGATTTGGGTTTTTTATTTTGTGGAAATTTTTTGATTAGTCAGAAAACAGATCAACTAAATGGTAACCAAAGTAACTTGCTCACCTCTTTTGTATATAGCAGTGGTTCCCAAGAACTAAAATGTGGTCCACAGCCTCACCATTACTATACCGTTGCAACAAGAGCGACAGGTCTCATAAAACTCTCTTATAGTGGCGAGGCTTATTAAATATGGTTTTCTGTGGGCAAGGAGATGGCGACTACTGGATGGCATATGTTCTGTATCAGAAACTAGAGCTGATATGGCAATTTTCTGAATCAGCAACCCAAATATCCAAACTGAATCTAAAGTTGACCAAAAACTGATTCGTAACCCTTTTGATACTAATGTTGGAGAGTGGTCCCTGGTCAGAAAAGGGTTGGGAACCATTGGTATATAGACCCTGTTGCAGAAAAAGAACTTTGTTTCATGTAGCATGTACAGAACAATGGTCTGAAAGCATTTAGATGCGGCATATAGACACATGTATCATGGATATATGGTTTCAGAGAACATCTTTGGAGGCATGATTTTTCATCTGTCCCATTCACAATGTCATAATGTCTGAGAGACTTATGCCACTATAGAAACCAAAATCAACACTAATATGTATTATTTTATTTCCGTGCTTCAAGAAACTTCTGAAACAATGTAGCCCAGATTCTATACTACATCTGACTCAGATGTTTTATCAGAAAAGCTGCAACTTTTTGCACATGGAATTTAATACACAACCACAGTTAACCCAGTCTACAAAGCAAACTACAATAGCTATGGGGAGAAGTGGTCAGAGCGCCTATACTAATTGACAATTCTGGTAACTGCACAGGATTTCAAAAGTGGGTGGCCTGGTAAGAATTACCCAGAGGGAATATTCTACCGAGTGTTGGCCACATTACTCTATTTTTTCAAGTACTTGGGAAATTACAACAATTAACATTCATTACTGAATCAAAACTTCCATTTGCTGCTGACTGCTCAAGACAAGAGAAGCAGATCCAGCTTTCCTAAGGGCTCTTCCACACAGTCATATAACTCAGAATATCAAGGAAGAATAACCCACAATATCTGCTTTGAACTGGAATATCTGAGTCCACACTGCCATATATCCCAGTTCAAAGAAGATAATGTGGGATTTTATTCCCCTGTGTAGAAGGGACCTAAGAGCCTTCCAGACAGGCCCTATATCCCAGGATATGATCCCAGGTTTTCTGTTTATCCCAGATTATCTGGCAGTGTGGACTCATATAATCTAGTTTAAAGTAGAAAACCAGGAATCAGATCCTGGAATATAGGGCATGTCTGGAAGGGCCCTAAGACTCTTGGAAATGCAAGTTGAAACTTTTCTGTAGGCAATGACAAAATCACAGCTCTGGAACTTCTTTTCGATGGCCGTTGTTGGATTATTTTACAATGATCACCCCCACTACTATTTTGACAGGAGAAGTGTGATAAAGGATTTCTGGAAGTCAAGAAGGCAAGTGCTCAGACAAGGGACATTTAGGGTACATCTACTCAAGGTATGAGCAAGATTGGGCCCTCTGGATGTTTTGGACCTCAACTTCCACAATTCCTAACAGCCTCAGGCCTCTTCCATTTCCCCCTCAGCCACTTAAGTGGAAAAGGAAAGGGAGGGGCCTGAGGCTATTAGGAATTGTGGGAGTTGAACTCCAAAACACCCAGAGGGCCACAGTTGGCCCATGCCTGCTATAGACTGAATTCAGCTTGACACCATTTTAACAGCCATGGCTTCATACTATGGCATCTTGGAAGTTATTACTATTTATACCCTGCTTTTTCTATTTAGTATGTCTATACCCTACTCGAAGCAGCTTACAGTAAAAACCAAATGAAGTAAAATTCAAAACCTAAAAATGTACAAGCATTATATACAAATATACAAAAATGGTAATATTAAAAAGTAAACAGTTAAAATCCTTAAAGGCTGATTTAAAAATGTACTGAAGGCTATATAGCTTGACAAGGGGCCTCATCACACTAAAGAATGAATCCATTTTAGATCCAGTTTCTGCCTCCTGCAGAGTTCTGGGGTTTGTAGTGAGGCTGTTAAAGGCTCCTCCCTAAATTACAAACCCCAGAATTCTGCAGGAGGGAGAAACTGGATCTAAAGTGGATTCATTCTCTAGTGCGATGAAGGAGAAGGTCTTGAGCAGGGGTCCTCAAACTAAGGCCCAGGGGCCGGATGCGGCCCTCCAAGGTCATTTGCCCAGCCCTCGCTCAGTCTGAAACAACTTTAAAGCACACAACAACAATCGTATCTCATCAGCCTAAAGCAGGCCCACACTTCCCATTGAAATACTAAAAAGTTTATATTTGTTAAAATTGTTCTTCATTTTAATTATTGCATTGTTTTTAAGTGTTTTTTTTGCACCACAAATAAGATATGTACAGTGTCCATAGGAATTCATTCATGCTTTTTTCAAATTGTAATCTGGCCCTTCAACAGTTTGAGGGACGGTGACCTGGTCCTCTGTTTAAAAAGTTTGAGGACCCCTGCACTAAAGAATGAATCCACTTTAGATCCAGTTTCTGCCTCCTGCAGAATTCTGGGACTTGTAGTTTAGTAAGGCTGTTAAAGGCTCCTTCCTAAACTACAAACCCCAGAATTCTGCAGGAGGCAGAAACCATGTTTAATGTGGATTCATTCTCTACTGTAATGAAGGAGAAGATATTAAGTCTTCTGTGCCCAAGGATGCTGGAGCCTCAGCAAACTACAACTCCCGCCTTGGCAGTTAAAACCGGGGCCAAACTGCATTAATGCTACAATATAGATGAGGAAACACGTGCTTGGTGCAGGAAGGAGGGGAAGGTTATAAAACACAGGCAGAGAAGTCCTGACATGGAAGGGAAAGACAACACAGGGAAAACACAACTCCCTCCTCAGTGTGGAAACAACACAAGGGGAAACACAACTCTCTCCTCAGTGTAGGAAGGTTCCCAGCCAGAACTAACACATTGTGAAAGCGAAGGAGCCCTTCCCAAACGCGACAATTCATGTAATTCGATACGGAAACGTCGGTGATTGTCTGAAGCCAGGGCACAGAACAAATGTTCACTGTCGTGGAAGCCAGACAGACAGACCCAACTTCTCCCTCTCTCTCTCTCTCTTTCCTCCTCCTCTGTTTTGCCAAGTGTTACGTTTCACAAGTCAGGCGAGTCTCTCTCTCTCTCTCCTTCCTCCCCCTTCCAAACTCTTTCTCTTTTTGTCTCCGCCTCCCGACTTTTAAAATAAAGGGAAAGACAAGCGTCTCTCTTCCTCTTTCCCCTTTACCCCCCCCCCCTCCTCTCTGAGGAGACGATGCCAAAAGTTTGATTCCGGCCGGGATCTCGACACCCGACACCAGCAGCGCCTCCAAAACTCCAGGGAAATCTCTGCGTCGAGGGCCGCAAAAAAGGAGGAGGAGGAGGAGGAGGAGGAAGAAGGAGAGAGGAAACTTTTGTCTGGCTCCGGAGGCGCAAAAGGGCGCTCGGAAAAGCCCCCCGCGCCTAGGCAGGAAACGGGGTGTGGTGGGAGGGGGAGTGGGGGGAGCCCCTCAAGGCCGGTGCTTTTCGGGGTTCAGGGAAAACGCCCCCCCCCCCTCCGAGGGAAACTTTGCTTCCTCTGCCATCTGGAGCGGGGCTCCCCGCGCCTCCCCTTCCCTCCCACGGAAGCCCCTCGGTGAGGAGGTCTCTTTGGGGAGTTGCCCCGAACTCGTTCCCTTCTTTCCTCCCCCCCCCCCCCCCCGAGTCTGCGGAGCGGCTCACTCACCCGCGACGGCGCCCGCGGGGCAGCGGAGGAGCAGCGGCCAGGCGGCCAGGAGCACAGCCCGGAGCCAGAGCGGCAGACCCTGCAGCCGCCGCCGCCGCCGCCTCCTCTCCGCCGCCGCCTCCGCCTCCATGTTGTTGAGTGTGCCGCCGAGGCAGCAGCAGCGCCTGCCCACGGGCTCCTCAGGCGGGCTCCATGCTCGCTCGCTCGCTCCTGCCTCCCTGCGCGCCGCCGCCGCCGCGCTGGGCCAGCAGGGAAGGGACAGGAGGAGGAGGGGAGGAGGGGCGGCGCTCCCAGAAACGCCCCCTGACTCTCCTCCGGCGGGAAGGAGGAGGGAGGAGAGGGAGAAAAAAGAGGGAAGCCCCACGCGCCAAGCCCCGCCCCTCCTTCCTTCCCTCCCTCCCTCCCTCCCTCCCTCCTTCCCAAGCTCCGGGCCCTTGCCTCTAGTGCTGCTGCTGCGGCTGCTGCTACTGCTGGGAAGAGAGCGCCAGGTGGTGGTGGTGGAGGAGGAGGAGGAAGAGGAGGAGGAGGAGGCTCCCTCAGGTGGGGCCCCTGGCAAAGTCAACACCGGGCTGGCTGGCTCGCGCTCTCATATATATATACATACACACACACACAGAGGACACATCTCTCTCTCACTCTCTCACACACACACATATACACACACTTTACACACATTTCTCCCATATAAATATATCCACATATACACACAAACAATCAACACAAATTTTTCTAGGATGCTTCAAAACAAGGCTTTGGGGTAAAAAAATGAGGGTTGCCGGAACACAAATTGGAAAGGCCTCCAGTTGTGTAGAAGAAGTGTTGCTTGTTGCACAAGAAGCAAAACCTGCCAAAATACAGGAGGTGTTCCTAGTTTTCAGCCTGGTAACTCTATAAAAAGAAATGAATCCACAGAAGACTTTGCAATTTCTGAAGAGCAAGAAGTTGTCACTGATTTCTTTGTTACTGAAAATGATACACCAGGACAACAAAATGGCTCTAAGGCCAGGCAAACCCATCAGCAGAAATTCCCCAGATTTCAAGCACCTCTGCATTAAATTTGAGCCAGTAAATAGCATGTTGTCATAATTTATTAACTTTTTATTAACTTTATTTGTACCCCGCTAGCATCTCCCGGAGGACTCGATGCGGTTTGAATCATAAGACAGTGATTACACAGTTTGTTGCCTTTATTTGTGTTCAAAGGAATTTGAAAATGTCAAACTGATTCTGTTCAATGAATTATCATGGACCAAGAGGTCACTGGGAATTAGGGGGTGGTGGTTGCTAGCCTTGTTTGCCTGTTGCAGCAAAAACAACAGAAATTCCTGTGACACCTTCAAGATTAAGACTTTTCTGTATCATAAGCTTTCATGGATTGTAGGCCCACTTGGTTTGATGCATACTATTGCCTTAGCTGGCATGTTATTATAGAGAGAGAGATATTCTAGGGTGAGGGATCACTGAAGGGTGGTGGATCATTAATATATCACTGGCTTTTAACAAACTGTACTTGGGTGGTTGTACATGACTATTGTGGGAACAATTAGAACAAATCATTCTTCTCTTTCTAAAGGCTTTCATATTTAAAATAATGCCACATCTTTTTTATGGCAATGATATTCAAAATGGGAATCTACATGCCATCGTGTGCCAGTCCCTTGAGTGTTTTCCTGAGAGGAAGAAGCAATAGGAACCAGGAGGGACAAACAAAGTATTAATCCCTGGCACACTCCGAGAAAAATTGATGATGGATTGTTGTAAATTTTTCGGGCTGTATGGCCATGTTCCAGAAGCGTTCTCTCCTGACATTTCGCCTGCATCTATGGTAGGCATTCTCAGAGATTGTGAGGATATTGTTTATACTTCTGTGACCACAGAATCAAAATTCAAAGGTGTCTCTTTCCCTGTCATCAAAGTTTTGTTGTTGTGTGCCTTCAAGCTATTCGCAATTTATGGGAATTCTAAGGTTCGCAGCTTGGGAGTTCTCCTGGACTCATCGCTGAGCCTGGAACCCCAGGTTTTGGCGGTGGCCAGGGGAGTTTTTGCACAATTAAAACTTGTGCACCAGTTGGGCCTGTTCCTTGGGAAGTCAAACTTGGTCACGGTGATCCACATTCTCGTTATATTGGGAATAGATTACTGCAACATGCTCTACATGGGGTTGCCTTTGAGGGAAGCTGTCCAATGGGCAGCAGCCAGATTGCTCACCAGAGCGGTGTACAGGGAGCACACAACTCCCGTTACATCAGCTCCACTGGCTGCCAGTATGCTTTTGAGTACAATTCAAAGTGCTGGTTTTAGCCTATAAAGCCCTAAATGATTCCAGCCCAGCTTACCTATCCGAACATATCTCCCTCTATGACCCACCTCGGAGATTAAGATCATCGGGGGAGGCCCTGCTCGTGGTCCCACCTACATCGCAAGCAGGACTGGTGGGGATGAGAGACAGGGCCTTCTTGATGGTGGTCCCTTGCCTATGGAACTCCCTCCCCAATGAAATTGGATTTACCCCATCCCTCCTGACCTTCAGGTTACAAGCTTTCAGCCAGTCATGGGAGTAGTGCAATATGAGACTAAATATATATATATAATGACCAGTCCTGGAGTACAATTTGGATCATGTGATTTTAATTGATGTTTTAATGCTATGTTTTTAAATGGGTTTGGTTTCAACTTTTTTTATTTACCGATGTATTAATATATGGCATTGAATTGTTGCCTTTATGACAATTTATGATCTGCTCTTATCCCAACCCCAACACTTTTAATATTAAAGTATGGCATGCTGATGATTAACAACCCTTCAGATGTACCCTTGAAAACCTGTGATAAAAAATTATATATATGGAATTGTTGCCTTTGTAAGGCCTCCCTGAGTCCCCTTCGGGGTTGAGAAGGGCGGGATATAAATGTGGTAAATAAATAAAGAAATAAATTTAGGGGGTTGAGAGTATATGATTTGCCTAAGGACAACCATGGCAGAGTGGGGTGTTTGAATCCTGTTCTTCAAAGTTGTAGTTCAACTCTCAAACAACTAAGCCACACAGTCTCAATGTTTACTACATTTTAATGTAAAATCCAGGGTCTTTCTAATTACTGGCTTCAGCTACACTGTGGAGAACCAGGCCAAATCTCCATTCAGCCATGCAGATCACTCAGTGATACTGAATGAAATTACAATTGTGTGAATCACTTGTAACGTCACAGTATTGTTGTGAGGATACAGATGGAATGGGGCTATCTATGCCACCTCGAGCTACTTTGGAGAAAAGAAAAATGTTAATGTTGCATATACAATGGAACCTTGACTTAAGAGCATCCCAACTTGCAAGCCTTTTAAGTTAAGAGCCATCGCTTGGCCTGGGTTTCGCTTTTACATAAGAGCAGCATTTTGAGTGAACAGCTAGCCCTGGAAGTAGCACTAGCGTGAGAGTACAGGGCTTTAGGGTTTCAAGAGAGCAGCCTACGTGCCTCTGTGCCTCACTCCTGGTGCTCTTGACCTTTTTGGGAGATTGCTGTCTGTTTTGCTCCTGTTCGCTTTGGGAGATTGCTGTCCTCTTTGCTCTTGTCCACTTTGAGGAACTTTGGGTTAGTTGATTTTGTGTGGTTTTTATTCCTGGTACATTTGGTTTCATGAAGAGAGAGAGGGCAAGAGAGGGAGGGAGGCTGGAATGAGTACAGTATGAAGAAAATGATGCTTTTGTCTCTTCACTTTGTGTTTTGTGCTTCCTTGCCACAATTTTGTGCTTCTACCATTTAATGTTGATATACATTTTATTTTAAAACTCATAACAAAACATTGGGGGGGGGGAGAACAATTAATAGCATTTCAGTGCATTTCAATGGGAAAAATCACTTTGAGATAAGAGCTATTTGAGTTAACAGCTCAGCCACTGAACTAATTAAACTCTTTAGTCAATCTGTCATTGTAACCACAATTGGATAGATGGTCTCAGATAAACTTAAAGGTAGTTTCCATTTTGCCTGTTTTCTCTGTAGGATTAATAAGTAATTCAATAGAATCCAAATTGTGTTGTGACTAGAGTGTTCCCTGTTTTCTTCTAAAATTTTGGTCCTGCAGAGATGGTTCTGATTTTGTATTCTGAGAAGGCATTTTAAGCTACTAGAAGGATGGGAAGATTTTACCATCCTTCTGCAAAGGAAATATCAAGACTATTATCTCTCTATCACTTCTTCAGGAATAAGACATTGAACAAAATGGTGACCCTGTTACTATGCTTGCACATGCACATAGGTTTATTCACAACTGATCCACACATCTAATTGAAATTAATGAAACTGAATCCGTACATCTATTCAGAAATAAGTTAAGTGCTGAGTTAAATAACCATAATTTCCGGGATTGTCTGCCCCGGATTATGTTTATAGCCATTGTTTGGTTGTTGTCCTGTTTACCTAAGGTTTTTTTTAAATCGCACCCAAAATGTTTTGAATTCTTATATAAAGCAATAGGAAAATATTTGGAAAGGTTTTAAAAATTCCTTCTTTACTTGACCTTTGCATTCATGTGAGAATTGTTGGGCTTGCTTTTAGAATTGTTACAAAAATGTTGTTCGGTTTCTTTGGAAGAAAATGTGGAAGTTAAACCTATTTTAAATTAGATTGCAAGTTTAAACCTCTGTTGCTTTTATGCAGAAAATGACTTTAGGTAGTATGTAAGACCATAAACAGCAAAGCTTTGGCATAAAGAACTTGCAATAATACATAGATCCTGGTAACTCTTGAGCAAACAATCTTATAGCCCTACCCTTTTAAATATAAGACCTAGCTGTAGCTTATTTTGTTTGTTTAGGTATAGATAAAAGCAGTCCAAACAGTGTTCAAAAGCAGCAGTGTTGATCAGGTGTTGCAACAATTTATTGCATCAAAGTAACCTAGGATTAGTCATTTTATCTAGAATCGTGAAAGAAGGACAGCAGTACAAAGTACTAAATCACAAATTGAAGTGTGGACACTTTAGTCCCCTATTGGATAGAGAAGCTGTGTAAGTGCCCATCCCTAATTTATTGGCCTCAAGGTATTCAGGACCACAAGTAGGACTTTAGCATTAGGTAGAGAGAAGTAGATGTTTTTGGGCAGCAAATTTAAATAAGCAGCAATTTATTAATTATTTGGTTTGCTATTTTGGAGACCTGATCTACTCCTCCTTAGAACAGCAATTTCCAAAAATGGTATTGAGGTTACTCAGGGTCTAGTTTTCTTCTTCATTGTAATTTAACACATTAGT